AGGCTTATGTATAGCTTTTTGCATATTTTAATGTTTGAAGTAATATGATTCATAAAGCTATAAAATGTAAAGTTTAAAGGGCCTTTCATGTTATATCATTAAATTTAGTAAAACTATTTCTCGGTCATTAGGTTTTAACTCTTATAAGAATATACATATTTTTTTTCTGTTTATGTACAAATATTTTTCCGAAGTGTTTTGGATATTCCTTCTCTAATAAAAAGAGATACCACTTTGTTTTCGCTTGCATGAGAAAGAATATCAAAAATTTTTCTTTTTTAAATTTAATTAGCCACAATAAAGAAGGAACGTTGCACATTAAAGACGTCTCTAGTGTAACTGAATCACTGTTCATATAGAAATCGCAGGTATTAGTCTCATACAACAACGCCCCCTATAGTTCGTTGCGATCGCGAATTAAGTTTATAATCGAAATATTTATTTTTAATGCAAGGATAAATTCCATTTGATTTTATTGAGCTCTTTAAACTGTAATTTTCCACCGCATTAGTGCAATACTAATTAAAATAACTCATCACTTCTGTTCTTTCCGAAGTCCTCTAAAGATCCATTCTCACTGCATGCTAAAAATTCGCCTTTGCAAACGCGAACTCGATTGGTGAGTTCTTCGCGGTTGAGTGTATTTTACCAATCATATATCCAAATTCACATGCAAAATGAATAGTTCATAAGTAATGGCAGGCAAGTTAGGAGTTTCTAGTAATGCGCTATCATTCACGCCATCTACTTAGCAGTTAAACTACAGGACGTTTATATCTAGAAAAACGAATCTGGCAACTTCTCTTAATAAGCGTTTTTATAAACAAAAACATTTTGCCATTCATATCGATTTGATATCTTGAGAAAAAAGAACTATTTAAGTATTTATCCTGTTAAAATTTTAGTTTCACGCTTTTAATAAAGATTAGTTTTGCAATACGTAAATATAAATACGGTTCATTTGTAGCATAGTTTCTTCAAAAATGGCTGATCGCTTGTCGCAATTACAAGATGCAGTAATGGCTCAGGCTGAAAATATTTGCAACAGTATTGGTATTTTACAACAATGTGCTACACCAAGTCATTTTCCAGAGTTCGATCGGGTCAATCCAAAAGCTCCGCAGCCCCCAGAAGATTTCTGCATGACATTTGCGACACTGATAAGTCGAACGGCTAAAGATATTGACGTCTTAATTGACAGCCTGCCCAGCGAAGAGTCTTACCCTGAGTTGCAGGAGGCCAGCATTAAGCGTCTTGACGAAGAAAATAAAGAAGCTGCCAGAAGATTGGAAGAAAGTGTCCGAAAAGGAGAAATCCTTCTTGAACAAATCAGAAAAGTTCTCTGCGATATTGCTATGTCAGAACTCGAAATGCAAAAATCGAACAATCAAACCAAATAAATTAACTCATAATTGTTTTTTTGAACCTTGATTTACGGTTATATGATATTGTTTTGATAGACAATATGATTTTTTATCTTTAAACTGCTTTATGAAAAGTTAATTTGATAATAAGCCTGAATTATCAAACGTAGAGGTGATTGTTAGCCCAAAACACAAATTCTAAGAATGTCTTGAGTAAAATTATTAATGGCATTTCAAAAAATTAATGTGCTTATAAATTAAAATCATTGATATTTTCAAAAACAAGAAATTCTAAATAAATTATATTCAGCATAATTTAATTGAATAGGGTTTACTTTTATCTCTAATCACATTTATTATTCTACTAGAAAAAAAAAAATTTCCAAATTAAAAAGATGCCAAGTATAAAATCTAGTTCAAATATTTTTTAAATAAAATGTATTAGAATTTTAATACATAAACAGTGTTTTCACTACAACGCGAGAATCTCGCATATTTTTTTATATTCTCGCATTAAAAAATGATTACCGCGAGAAATTCGAGCATTCTATAAAAAAATTTCAAAATTCGCGAATTTCTCGCATTTTGAAAAAATTTTCTCTTTTGCGCCATTTAGAATAAAATCCGTTTTACTTTTCTTCCTGGATCTTTTATTATTTTCAACATCTGCCCCATTATCTAGCTTCCCTATTTACCAGTATTGTTCAGAACCTTTAAGAACAACAGAACACCATCCTTCCGAACCACGGAACCTCTTTCAGAACGCATTTCTCTGCAACCACGTGTTTACCNAATTCAATCTAGATCTAATTCATATATCTTGTACAGTTATCTAGGTATCCACTTGAAGAAGAAAAAATTAGTTAGCTTATTATATATTTCATTGTATATACTCCATTAGCATAAGTAATCAATGTTTAATAAAAAGTAAAATATTAGTTGAACTTTCTTTGAATGACACCATTGTTACTATCCATTAAATAATGGTTTCTGGGTATCTCTGCCCCCCTGGAAAGTCATGAATTTCGGTAATGAAAATTTTTTTTCATGATTTTAACTATTTTTTTAAAGAAAAAGTCATGGATTTAGGTCGCCAAAAAATCTAATTTTTAAAATGGAATTCCCTCCCTCCCAATTTCATGGTGTTCTGAATTCGTAACTTAATCCCCACTCACAGTCATATTTTATTAAAATATAAAATGTTTTTTATCGTGTTCTTTATAAATTATGTTTTTATGTTAAAAAATTAAAGAAAAAACATCATTTCTCAAGCGAATTATCTTTTAAACTTTTGTGATTTCAGAATTTTTGTTATTTTATTTTATCAATTTAAAATTCTAGCTGAAGCAAACCGGTCATTGGCAGATTTTTTTAAAATCTGAAATGAGAACAGAAAAATCTGGAGTATATCTTTCCTTTCCGATGAACAAGAAAAGTATCTTTAGAATATAATTCTGCAGAAAATTTTTTTTATTTGCTTTTGTATTTTTTTTTCTTTCATTTACTTTGTTTCAACTCTTTCTTTACTCTGTTTTTTAAATTTAAAATCTATAAATATGAAGATGCAGAGTATAACAGTTTTGGTTATACCTATCATTTCAATTAATGTTATTATAATGCTTTTTTAAATTTATTGTTCTGTTTTTGTCGGGAGACAATAATAACTTCGTTAAGTCATGAAAAGTTTTTGGAATTAATCATGGAAAGTCATGAATTTGAAAATCAAAAATGTAACAGATACCCCGTAGCTCTAACATGATGTTAATAACTAAACTAACCTAAATAAAAAGAATTTTGATTTCCATAGAGATATGTTAATATTACTCTTCTTGAGCATTTTTATAAAAATTACTGATCTTAGAATCTCTGCATATTGTAAAGATTCATCAAATTTTTATTCTGCTCACTGAATTTTTCTTACTGATAATCCATGAAAACTGCCAAGAATTTTCAAATGTATCAAAGATTTATGGATATCCCCATATAGGTACCCAGTTGGAACCATTGCAATTTATTTTATTTCAACTGATTGAATGATTAAAAATATGTCATCACATGCTGGTGGCTGGTTGCATATTTTAAATAGCCCCAATTAGTTTAATTCTGAATACTATATTCTATTAATTTTTTTTATCCAAATAATTTTCATTCTATAAATTTGTATACCACTTATTAGGGTAGAGTTCTGATGATAATTGTATAAAAATAACTATTGTCAATCTCTTTTAATTTTATTTAAATGTGGTAAACTTCCTATAACTCACCACAATTTGAGAAAGTAAATGAAGAACTGCGGATTGCAGCAAACAAAAAAATTTCTTAATTTATAAAAAATTTTACACCTTATTTCTATTACATAATTTTATAAATTAATAAAAACATTTCTATGGTTTTCAATTCTGTAGGATAGACAAAACAGAACTCAAAATTAACATTATGTTCCCTGGACTAGCAATTACTTTAAAGGTAATTCTGTTTAAAAAAAATAATAAATTGGTTTCATACTTTGCTTCGGTCTGTGTTGTTGTCACCAAATAGCATTTTTCATCTTAATTATGACATTACACATTTCTGTATTTTCATTTAAATTCACTCAATTATTTATTATAATTTGTAAACCAACCAGTAAAAATGTGTACAGTCTAGTGATATATCTTTTAGTTAAAGCCTCTATGGACCAGTGAATATATTTTCTTTAATTCAACCTCTGAAAGAAGTAAAACATAGTTATTTCGTAATTTAAACTTAATTAACATCTTCTTAAAGAGTATCAATTCTTCAATGAAATATTTAACGAGTTCCACAGCAAGTTACTTTTTTTATTTATCTCTTTCCACCTAATATCTATAATTCTTTTTATTATTTGTCTGTAAAGTGTCAGTGATCGCGTGATAAAGTTTACTGTACTTTTCAATGTTATTTTTCTTAATTTATACAGGGGTACACAGTTAACAATTCTTTATTTGAAAGTTTCTAATTTGTCTTATAACAATTTATTTGAACTAATGTATATAAAATTTTATTATTATAGTATGAAAAAGCTTGATTATTTTTTTCAATAACAGGAAAATATGTGTTCTAAACTAAAGTAATGGGTTCTACACTAGGGATTGCTGCAAGCTCCATACTGCCTATGCTTCTAGGTTACTGCGTTTCCAGTGTATTTTAAAGATATTTGGCTCACAGCGTGATCATTGTGATTCTTGCAAATGTGGTATTTGATTACTTGTGCTTACAATGCTAAAGGTGCTAACACTAACGTAAGATAGTGCACAGCTTGCAACAAGAACAAACAGTTATAAACAAATGGAAAGAGGTCAAATCAGGGCTGCCAAAAAATCGAGTTATTCAAAATCTAGCAACCATGTCATCTTTTTTAACAATATAGCTATAAATAACTAAAACAAATTTTCACTTCAAACTCACCAATATTACTTAATAACATTAATATCTTATGAAATACGGCAGATTTGAGCTCAGAAATTATCTAATTGACTTTTTTTTATTGAAAACAAAATTATCCGTTTGTAAATATCGTTTCGCAGAATAAGCTGTAGTAAGCAGTTGCAAACTTTCTATCCGGAACTAGACCAGGTATTAAGCTCGAGATTGTTATTGTTTACATTTATATTAAATTTATATTGCACCGTCCATATGCACATAGTTACTAATAATAGCAAAATTATTAAGCTATTAATCATTATTTTTTAATATTTTTAAAATTATTCCTATTTAAAAAAATAACAAAATTGAAACTTCCCTTTGTCAATTTTTTGTTAGTGCACATTATGTACATAAACTAATAGATTTAAAATGTGTAAAATTTTCTAGGTTTCTACAGCAGTGATCCAACATAATTAATACAGACAGTGTTTGCAATATTTTCTCACCATTTATACCTACGTCAAAAATTCTTTATTAACTCTTTGAAATTTAATTATCCTTAATACCTGTGCCATAATTTTACTTTTGTACTATATTAATGGATTTTTATTTTAAAAAATAATAATTTCAATAATTTATTATACAAATTGTATTACAACATTCGTGGTGGCATTTGACGTGTCATAAAATGCAATACATTTGTTTCAATATAATGGTGATCAATAAAAAATTTCTCCTAATACTGATGTATTTTTCATAGTTTGATGATGATCTGTGTCTTGTTCAATGTTTTACTGAATTTTAATGCTTTTTTTTAAAGCTAAAAATGCCCATTTTACAACAATTTCATTTTTAATAAATATATTTTTGAGGAAGATCAGTGATTACTTTGATTTAAATCACCAATTTTATCTGCTGGAACAATTTTATCTGCAATATTAACAGTTTTTTCTTTATTATTTGAGAAAGGGGTAGAGCTCGGGTCTACTGATTTACTAAATAGAGAAATAATCTCTGAACACAAAGCTGGTAGAAATAGCATAATTTTAGATTATTACGACATAAAAATAAAGCTAAACTACATTATTTTATTTTAAAAAAATCCAGTTTATCAACTAACTTTCCATCATTTTTTAAAATCTCAACATTAAATGTTTTAGGCATAGTGTTCTAGATTATTCAAAATAGTATGTTATTCAAATAGTTATTATTTTTTTATAGTATGTTATTATAGTTATTTTTTGTCATTTATTTCCAGTTAATTTTCAGATCATTAGTATGGAATATCATGCTAAGAAAAATTAGCATTTCCAACGCCTTTTTGCTTTTAATCAAAGTTCTAAGCCTGCCAAAGCTGCTTATGACATTTATGCTATGTATGAAGAGGATATCATAGTTTAAAAAACCTTTTTGTAATTCGTATGCCAAGTTTAAAAAGATAAATTTAGATTAACCAACAAAGGCACAGCTTATTTTAGCCATCTGGTTTAGTTAAATGAATAGCTATTTAACCAGCTTTTGTAAGAAAATTCACTTTAAATGGCAAGAGAACTAGCAAACAAAATGGAATGCATGCTCATATACTTAAAGCTTTCATAAATTACAAAAAACTAGCACCTTAGTTGTCGACCCAATTAGAATTATTAATAAATAATTTTCCAGGAATAACCGTTTAGTTCTGTATAAATAATTTTATATAATCATAAAAAACAATACAGTACTTACTAAATTAACTTCGATCATTTTCTTCCATTCCAATTCATTGACTATACCTGCATTGTTTACCACAACATCAATTCTTCCAAATAACTGCTTTGTTCTTTCAAAAGCATCTGTTTTAATAAATTAGTGATAGATATATATTTTGTAAGTCTATTTTCTTAAATGATCGAATATAAATTCAGTTTAAAGTTTTTTTTCCCTATTCTCATTCTATAGATCAGATTTGGGAAACCTTTCTACCATGAGAGGCTACATTTAAATTAGACAATGACAAAGGAGGCTGCAAAAGTTAATACATTGATGCCACTTTTGTAAAATTATTACAGTTTTTATATAGATTTTATAACTTTATTGCGTTATATAAAAAATGCAAAAAAAGAGTCATTTATTATAATAAATATTTACCATACAAAATATTTTTGTATTCACATAAGTCTAATAACTTATAACATTAATTTTTATTCATTTTTCTAAATAAACAACTATATATAAANAAGATAAAATACATAAAATTATTTTCAAAAATATTTAAGAAAAATTTATCAAAAAAAATTAATAATCCGGAAATTAAAATAAAGAAAAGACATCATCTCTTCATCGGCTCACACGATTATATTAGCAAAAGGAATATTGTATCTAATATTGCTTTCTAATATTGTATCAATATAGTCAAAGCAAAATATAACACTACAATAGTGGGATAAGCACTTAATGAAGTTGAAGCGAAATTAGAAAACATTAAGTAAAAAATATATACGGAATAAAACCTATCAAGCAAAAGGCAGAAAATGAAGTGTAAAGAATGCATCAATCTGTATATATCTATCAATCTATCGATATATATATGTATACATTACATACCTTTTGATTTTGAATATAAATTAAGCTCCCTATCACATTCTGTTTCTGAAATTTCGGGACCTTCTTCATCTTCGTCTTGTCCTATTATCCTTAGAGCATTAAAATCATTTTCATCTTCTGAACATTCTAATCTGTAAAAAAGAAAATTAATTATATTTTGAAGATTGACTTAGTCTACCTGAATCAAAGTACGCAACATTAAAAATTTCCATTTTCTGAAATGCTAATATTTGATAAAGACTATCGGTAATGTATTGCAAACAAAAAGTGTTGTTTTAATATCTTTTCAAAAAGAATTTCAGAACTGTTAACAGCACAAATCTTCAAAAATTTGGGTTTTTATATTCTTAAAAACATATCTAGTTCGTTTCAATTAAACAGGGATTTTTTTTATTATTTGAACATTATTTTATATTTTTAGAACATGATATGTTACTTAAATTCTCAATGCACAATGCAACTTGAAAAAGAAAAAAAAGCTTTAAATGGACTTAAAACATTTTTAATGCCTTTTTTCCGCTATAATTTTTCATTGTTTACTTTTTATAAATCTGAAAGATAACTGTAAGATACTTGGTATTTATGAAGTTTAAAATTTTTTTAAAAAGCTAATGCGATTATAGTTTTGAATATATTTCAAAACCATTGAAGATATATATTTTTACAATTGAAGAATGTTTAAATATCAATCAAGGAATGCTAAATATAATCTTAGGCATAAAAGTTTACATATTTAAAATTATTTAAATAAAATTGCTATGATTTAATAAATTAGTGACTTCAATCACGTTAAAATTTTCCTTTTTCGTATGTTAAGTTCTACAAAGATGAATGACACAATAGTTGCCTGTGGGCAGGATACATTTTATTTAAAAAATTCGAATAGTTTATTTGTTTGTTATAATCTTCGTCTTAGTCAGTGTTCATCGCCATTTGGTTAGTCACTCAGGAGAGCTATGGTAAGCCATTGTTTATATGTTTAAGCCCCATCTGAGAACAATACGCAACGCAAATGGGACGGAGCTTCTTAACAGTTTCGGTTTGAATGATTATGTTTGCCTCATAAGTAAGTTTATCTCCGAAATAAAGAAAGAGGTTCAATCCGTCCTATTACATTACAAGCTTTGCTTTGTGTATATTTGAGAAACTAAAAACCTCTTCAATTTCAAACGCTCCTGAACAGGTTGGCTTTAATCTCGACTAGCAAATAACATAACTACGTCACAATATAAAAATCCAACTAGTTACCTTCCTCAAAAGAGGTAATTTGTTGGTCCCTGTCATGTTATGTAGTGTCTTTCATAACGTTGGATGTTATGCACCAGTTCACGTGGTAAAGTCCAACATGGCTGCCATCAGCAGCATGGAATGTTGTTAGTCATTTTGCACTGACCTCTTTCATATCTTGTCCAAAGCTGAATCTAGCCAATCAGAGGGTGTCATTACGCAATGAGTACGATTCATTGCCGATATTTCCAGCAACCTTGTTCAACGTTTTTTGTTAAATACACTTCCTTCTTTCTATAGGAATCATACTATCTAAGTCTGATAGTGATATTTATAATCCGTATATGGTATCCGCGTACTCAATGATGGTTTCAAATGAAATAGGTGCTACTTCCCACAGTTATGGGTAATGCGCCGTCTATACACTCTACGTAGCTTAGGCAGCTCTCCGTGCAACCCTTTGATGGATTAAGGACTACGTGGATCCTTTCGCTTTTCCTGAAACTTCATGTAAAGTTTCATTGTAAAAACGTTGCGCCAATAATTTCTGCGAGACACCAGAAAATGAATAAAACTATACAAGACTGTTATACGAGAGATTAAATATACAACAATAAGATGCGAAGACGATATAATACGACATAACAATATAAAACAGCATAACAATATAAAACGATGCAACAATATAAAACGACATAACACTATAAAACGACATAACAGTATTATACGTATTTAGAATCGCAGTGCAATTGGTATTCAAATTTGCAGTGCTTAAATTATTTCAGAAATACAAATGTCCCTTATTATTATGCTGCCCTCAACTGAATAAGTTTTAATTCAAATAAGAAATTAATTTGAAAAATAAGCTGGAATTTCAATAAAAATTTTAAATAAAGAGTTTGTATTAGGGGAGTGTCGGGTATCCCCGCCCACTGTCAATTTCATATGTATAGAATATTTCTTCAAGTCAATGGGCCATCGGACATTAATTGTTATATTAAAAAAAGATTATTTTCAAAGTTTGAAATATTTATGCAGCTGGTAACATGGTAAACAATAGTTTTGAAAATATGTATATATATGATAGAAATTTAATTTCATGAATACAGTAGTCATGAAATTAAATTTCTATTTTTTTAAGTTAAACTATTCTTATTTTGGTTTATTCTTTTTGCATTATTTAATTAGAAGATAAAACAATAGAAACATCCAAAAATATTGATTATTACTCAATATTATACAGAAATATAAGCAATACTCCTTAAGTGGGAACTACCCGACTCTCCCCTACTTTTAACAATATTTCTTAAGTCATTATCAATAAGTAGGTAAACAGTTGTAATGATTAGCTTTACTCTAATCGCATGAGCTATTAATATTGTTTTGAAAATAATTTTGATTCACTTTCAAAAAACTAATTTTTAATTCCTCGCACCCCGTTTGTACAGGAGTTATAAGCTTTATTAAAAAAATACTCGAAATTTCATCTACGACTGCTTTTATCCAACGTTTTTAAATAATCTGTAGTTAACTATTAACAATAGTCATCATCATTTATTAGCTTTTTATCGATGATTTAATGCATCAATGAATTGACGATATAAACATTAGTCAATAAGTGTATTATAGGTAAGTAAATCAATGAATAGTGAATAAATAAAAACGAAATTTGTTAGGAGTTAGTTTTGATCCTATTTTAATTTTCTGTTGTTTAGATTTTAACAAAGAAAATTTACTTTTATAAACAATTAAATTTAAACTCAGTACATTTAAAGAAGAAAAGTTTTAAATTTTTAAAAGTTCAACTCGTTCATTTAGCAATTATTAACTCGTAATTTTCGATTTATTTGTTTCTTGAAAACATCCATAAACATTCATAATTGATCTGTTTTTCGTTAAAATTGAATTTAAAGCATTTATTTGCTTAAATTTCAATAAATACATCAAAAGGATTTGACTTGTTCAACTTCTCTTTTCGTATACCGATTTAAAATTTTAAAAAAAATCATGATATTGCTTATAAATTATTATCTCGTGCATATATGTGTATAACAATTTTGTTACTATTCATGTCTTTGACGGAATAGTTTACTTCCTCACATATATTCATTCAAGCTTAACTACTACAGAACGACTGGAAAACTATTACATGTCTGGATTGCAGTTTGAAAGTTTAAAAATTGCTAGATATTTAAAACATTTCACTGATATTTAAAACATTTCACTGATACTTTTAACTAATATTCTGTTTTAAATGTTTTAAATATCTATTGCTATATATTTAAAACATTTCACTGATGCTTTTAACTAATATTCTGCACTAAAAAGTTAAATATTTCACATCGAATTTATGCTAAACCATTTGAATACAAATTACGTTTGTAAAGATTTGAACGATAGTAAGGTATTTCGGTAATATTAAAATTTTGAAATCGGTATATTTTTCAATACAAAGTGTAGCAATATTATTAAAATTTTAAAGTTATAGCATTTGTTAAAATAATGCAACAGATAAATTGAATTAATGAGTTGGAAAAATCATCTGAATAGTTAAGTATTGAGACAAAAAACTGAAAAGTTGAGTATCAGCTTGATATATAGAACATTTCTTTATTTTTTATGTTAAAATAAGGCTGGTTACAATGTGTGCTATTGTAGTTGTACTACAACATCATTTAATGCTTTGCAATTAAAAAACATATTTAGCACTTTAAGAGGACCGGTATTCGGACAAAACCTTAAAACAAATACTATACATTGTTTCTAACATTCGAAAGTAGTAATAATTTATAATTTAAACGAAACTTTTTTCAAGTATTAGACTACATATTGATGGATATTTGTGTACATTCAGAAATCTTTTGGAATATGGCTGTCTTTGTTGGGCCACTTATAAAATTCTTCATAAAAAGACAAAATATCATTTGGTATATATTTTAAAGACTCTTTTGGTGTCTGCAATTTTCCTATGGTTTATAGCAATTTCTTCATAATATTCTTCCCCTACTGGTTACGGTGCCACTATGTGGGCACTTTTTTGTACAGGAGTAAATATTAATTTGAACCACCAGTGAAAGGACATACTTTAACTTTACTGGATGTAGTTCGTTTGTAAGTAAAATTGCAATAATGTAATAACTGAAAGTGTTGTTTTTGCTTTCTTGCTTTCCCATAGACCCACTTTGATCACTCATTTTTCTTATTATGGTCAGGCCATCAACTTTTGTAACTAAGTACCATATTATTAATTGTAGTCCCCTCCTTTAGAGTTCATAGTTCCTTTATCGCTCTTTATTTTCATGAATATACCCTCTAAAGAAATAGCCTCGAAATCACCTATTGTGTGATAAAAGGTATCAAATATATAACAAGACTAAATTAAGCAGCTAATTTTCAAGTTATGCGAACAATTTCATAAGCAACAACGACAGCCATCTAGCAGTATATTTCCAAGTTTAATCCCAGAACAGGTCATCTCCAAGGATGATGTTTTCTAACTAAATTCAGATTTCACTGCACACATTATACTATACCAGGTATGTTGACATGAATTTTTTATATCCTATTTATGAATTTACATCAGCTGAATTTAAAAACGCAAGAATCTCTATTTTGAAACAAATAGTGGTAATGACTAGTTTTCGGAATCATCGATTCAATTATAAAACAGCTTATCAGGATAAAACTTACTTTAATCGAATTCCTTTTAGAAATATTTGCTCTACGGCATTGGATCATACTGTCAAGACAGAATAAATGGAAACATTTTTATTATATGCTACATAACAATATGAGTACGTTGTTATGAGTCTTTGACCTATGCAGGTATAGAATTCAATGAAAGTTTAGAACATCTGACTGGGTTTGGCACATTTTTATTTGAAAATGGCCATTATTAAAATTT